TGAATAAAAGCCTGAAATTGAGAAAGTAAATCACGTCCCCATAGATTGCAATGTAGAGGAAGGATATAGGGTTTAAGATAAGCAGTTAAAGTTGAATGCTCAGTAGAAGCAGAGAGCCAATGAGAGCTGACCTTAGCAGCTTGAGCTCCACCTACACCCTGCACTGAAGAAGCTTCTGTGAGAGACCAAGAAGAGGGCCATTCAGAAGAACGAATAACAGAAACATCTGCACCGGTGTCAATCAGACCTTCAAAAATTCGACCATTGAGTGTAACAGAAAGAGTTGGTTTTGAAGCTTGAACAGGCTGCTGTAATGCAAACAAAGAAAGTGGTTCAAAAAGAGGCAAAATTATAAGTGTTGCCACTACTGTTCCCTTTTTTAAAGTAAAGCAACGATCTCCTATTGCAGCCAATGCAAGATTATTAAGAGCAGAAGAATCATATAAGTAAGGAGCTGCAACCACACCCTCTATTGTAAGAGAAGAATTGGGAATAAGCAAGACAGGTGTGGAAGGAGGTAAAGGTTTGAGAAATGTTGTAGTTAAAGGAAGAGTAAAAACTGCACCAGGATCCTCATACACAAGATCCTCTAACAGCACCACAGGAAATGTTGTGACAGGTAATTCAGCCTTTGTAGCGAGGCTAGCTGAAGACCCCTCAATTAGTTTCCCGAAGGCTGAGAAGGAGAAGGATTAGAATGACATTGTGAAGCCCAATGATAGCCTTTCCTGCAGCGAGGACAGATAGTTTTTGGCTTAGATGAGGAAGGTGGACCTCTGGTTTGGCCACGAAAGGCAGCTCCACCCCCTGGCAAACGACATTGATTTTTAAAATGTCCTGGCTTTCCACAGTTAAAACAATTGCCATTGCGTGTTACAGCAAAAGCATCAGGAGGAGAAATGGAAACAGAATTAGAATTTGGTAATGAAGAAGTGATTGCAGTAGCAAGCATATCCATTTTATGAGTGGTTGTTCCTACAATTCTACAGAGTTGTAAAAACTCAGCCAAAGTCACTCCTGGCTTATTAGCAACTGGCTGTAGAATTTTTTGACAATCTTGATTTGCATTTGAAAAAGCCAATTTTATAAGTAATTCTTGTTTAGCAACAGAATTATCTATCTGTCTATCTAAGGCTGTTTGAAGCCGACTGATGAATGAAGCATAAGGCTCATCAGGACCTTGCATAATTTTTAAAAATGCTTGAGTGGACTGTGAATCTGAATCATCCACAAACCATCTCTCTCCTTCCTACTTCCATTTCCTTCCTTCATTTTTATCATCAAATCTACTTGCAATAAATAATCTTAGCTTCCCACTCTTGTCTTCTCAAGTACATCAGAAATTGTGGAAAAGCAGAACAATAGAGTAGCAAGACATTATTTACATAGTATTGACACATGGTAGAGTTTTTGCAAAAGATTCCATTAATCAATAATAAGTTTTGTGTTAAGTTGAGACATAAGATCACGGCCCCACAGATTGAATAGACACAACAGAGAAGTTATAAAAGACAGTTAAATGATTTGTTCTAAGATGGAACATACTGAGAATAAGAATGAAAAATCTGTGGGGTCCTTGAAGAATTTTGTTAAAAGACAAAGAAGGTTGAGAAGGACCTTTCTCATGATGGGATAACTCCTTTTCCCCATCTGAATCTCATCCTGTGGAGTATGGGATGGCTCCCTGACAAAGAAGATGGTCTAGGGTAACAGTTTGAAGAATGCCAGCTGTTGCAACAAATTGAACTGCTAAGCGATAGTCATTGTGCCAAGCAGCAAGTTGAGAAGATGTCAGAAAAAAGAATCCTTTAATCAGTGCCTTCTGAAAGGTATTAAGAACAGGCAAGGAGGCAGGAGAATCAGTGGAGTTGATAGGGTTAACATCAGGAATGTGAGGTGAGTTGTAGAAAGGAGGAGGAGGAGGAGGGGAAGAAATGTCTGGATAAGGAGGTAAGGAAGAATTTGTATCAAAATGAGCTGCAAGAGGCTTGGAATTTTTTAAATTAGAAGAAGGGGAATCAGAGGAAACAGGAGAAAAATATTTTTCAGGAAGACTAGAAGATGGATAAACAATTGTTATAGCAGCCATTATTGCTCTCCAAGAGATAAGTATATCCATGGGAGCTCTGGGAATTTCATGTAAATATTTTCCTAATTTTTCCCATTGAGAATGGCTAAGAGTTCCAGCAGATGGATAGGCTGGACAGTGCGCCTCAATATAAATTATAAATTTATTTAAAGATTTCTTCGAAATTGGGTACACAGTTGTACCATTAATTTTCTGAAAGGAATTAGCCTTCTTCACTAGACTATAAAGTTCGTCCCTGTGCCCTGACGAAACTTGAGAAAGTGAGGAGCCCATTACTTACGATTCGTACGAAACCTATGCCAGGTGCGTAGCAATGGGAGTGAAGGAGATGCACCTCTAGACAGAAGTCACACCTTGGAACCTGAAGATCGAAGAGATCCCAGACGAATCAAGGCATCCCGGACAAATCAAGGAATCCCGGACAAATCAAGGAATCCCAGACCAAGGAATCCCGGACAAATCAAGGAATCCCGGACGAGCCCCCATTTGTTGCGTTGAGCGACCGGTCTGTTGTTTAGATCTTCAGGTTGATTGCTGAATTCCTCTCAGAAAGGGACCCTCGCAAGGGTGAGATAGAGAGAAGCCCTCGCAAGGGCGAAGTTTGGCAAAAGCAGGACCCTATCCAGGGTGAGTTTAAGCAGCGTAACCCTAGCCAGGGTGATTGAGGGACTCTCGCAAGAGTGATTGCAAAGCTAAAAGAAAAAAGAACACAAGACGAAGATTTCTTTAGGTGAGACAGCGCATTGCTTGAGGCAGATGGGATTGCCTCATTTGAGCCTAAGACAGATGGAATGTTTAGGCTGGCTAGCTTGCTCTACGCTGTGCTCTTTTATTATGCTGAAAAGAGGGGGGTGAGGGGAGTTTACAGAAAGACAAAGAAGTTACAAAGTTTATCTTTTAGACCAGGCTACAAGTGATACAAATAACGAACTTCTTGGCTGTTATTGATTAATAGTTTTCCGGTAAACATGTCTTTACAGAATACACATCTTATCTGACAGACTTTTGAATATACATCCTTTCACAGGCTTTTGTGAAATATGTCTTTACTTTATCTGACACAGACCTCTGTGTTAATCTTATCAATTTAGCTTCTTCCTGTCAGTTATTTTCCTGTCAGTTTAGTGAACTTTGCTCTGAGAGAGGTATACGTGCTGAGCAAGATTTTTCTTATGGAAAAATATTGAGACAGAATCGCCACAGACAAGATTGGAGATATTGATAATAGATTAATGGTGGTTGAACAAGATAAAAGTGGTATGTTGAGATGGGAGATGGATAGATCAGAATTCTATCTTAGATTCCAAAACGTAGAGGAAGAAAAAGGACAAAACTTAGCTGAGATAATGATAGAAATACTGGCTGAAGCTTTGGAAATAACTCAAGAGAAGATGATGGATGGAATAGATGAGGTTTATCGAGTTTTCACAAGATATGCGATGAGAAATAGCTTACCAAGAGAAGTTCACATTAGATTTACAAAGAAAGCCATTAAAATGCAAATATTGCAAGTGGCAAAAGAGAAAACATTGAAATATAAAGACAAGGAGATTGTGGTCTTGAAACAAATACCCAGAAGAGTGAAAGAGATGAGAAGAGAATACCGATTCCTGACTAAAATGCTACTTAAAAAGAGGTGAATTATAGATGGCTGATTCCAGAAGGTTTAATGTTCACATGGCAAGAACAGAGATATAGAATTGACTCAATTGAGAAAGCGGAATTATTTTATACAGAATTTTTTGGAAGGAAAGAGGAAGAGGCAGAAAAAGAAATCTCACTCATTGAATTCCAAGAGGACTGCCAAATGGCGATTGAAAAAGAAGAAGGTGCAGTAGGTGGAAAGGTGGAAGCCAAAGAACGTGAACTAAGATCTACAAGAGCTGCTAAACCTAACTACAAAATATAACCATGGAAGAGAAAAAACTGATTACAATTAATATAAATGGACTTAACTCAGCCGTTAAAAGAAGGAAAACCTTTCATAAATTAGAGAAATTAAAATTTGATATAATTTGTCTACAAGAAGTACATATTAAAAAACATGAACAATTGTTGATACAGCCAAAATTAGGGAAAATATTTACTTCCTTGACACAATGTAAGAAAAGAAGAGTGGTTTTATATATTAAAGAGACCATCCCAGCAAAATTGATTTATACCGATGATGACGGAAGAATACTAATGGTGGAAATAACGGACAATACAAAAACACTCCTGATCGCAATCTATGCCCCGAATGACAAACAAGAAGAATTCTACAAAAAAATTACATATGAAAATAATTGAACTGGACTATGCTAATATAGTTATGATGGGAGATTTTAATGGAAGTCCAATCTCTACGTTTACTCCTCCCCCTTTATTATTAGAAAATAATAAATATATAAAGATGTACTTCTTTCTTATTATATCTATAAAATGATTTTAGGATAGATTTGGGATGATAATATGAACTGTTATAAAATAAACTAAGTAAATTATGATTATCTTGTAAAACTTGAATGAATAAAAGTATAGTCAAATGATTAATAATGATACTAAGGTATTTAATTTTTGATTGACAATATGAGATTATATGCAATGTAATTGTAATTGAAGACTACAAATTGGAAACACAAAACAATTTGTAAACCAACCGGCACACTGTATGTACACCTATGGAAGATAGCTTGTTTGTTTTGTTTGTTTATGTTTGTTTTTAAAAACCAATAAAATTTAAAAAGAAAAAAGAAAAAGAAGGAAATAATAGCATAATTAGAACCACTGTTTTCATTAAGGGTTTTTTTTTTTTTTTACAAAACAGAATCCTGAATAATTAGGGAAAAATGCTTTATATGATTCTTGCATTACATTACACCTATTCCATCTTCAGTGAGTCTGCAATAAATATAATAGTAAAAATACTTACAATTTCATCAAGTTCCAAACCAAATTCAAAACACAGTTCATCAAATTCTTCATCAGCTGCAGAAAAAAAAATGTTTTTAAGATATTAAAGTAGAATTAATGCATCTTTTGGGGGGGAAAATAACTGATTTCATCTTAATATTTGGTTAAATGTCATTCAGAAGGATTCAGAGGTGACCACAAAGCAATAGGAAATGATGCAATTTTGATAAGCAACCAATGTAATATCCTTCCATTTTCATAGCTGTCGTGGGCTAATAATCTGTATTAATAAGTAAGGTTGTTTTTGTCTGGTTTCCTGCTGGAAAATAAAAGCTCTCCCCTTCCTCCCTTTACCCTTTGTTACTTAATCCCTCTCCAACCTGGTACCGGCTAAATGTGCAGGTGTACAGCTGCCAAGTCCACAACAGGCACGGACTTGATCGAAAGCAGCGGGGGCTGCAGTCCAACATATTTGGTAAGCACCAAATCAGGGCAGGATAATGTGCCTTTTCGCCCCTGAGCTCAAAGAACTTTAGGAAGGCTCCATTATACTCCAAATCTACTAAGGTGTAACTTTCTTACCATTAACCGAATTGCCCCACATCTAGTGCAAATATCAGTCGCAATGACCTCTTTCCCCACCTCTTTCTGACCAAAAGACACGCTCACTACAAGACCCCAAGTTTTTCCTTACTGTAACTCCTTCCCAAAGCTTGAAAAAGCAGATCTCGCTTCACGCCGACAGTCGGCATGGCTCACTAGCGGTTCCTGCCACTTTCCTTCGCGGCGCATGCGCTAGCCTCACTGTCACTAAGGAAGGCCCCAGGACTTCAACTCCCTGACGTTAAGGACTTAGTGTCTAAATTTCTGCCGATCCAAATGTTGCTTTTTTGTGGGGGGGATACCTCTTCGTTCAGAAGAATCAAAATAGGATAAAGTTCGTCAAAATCCTGTGTTTTTAAATTGGTGAATAACCCGGCAGAGAGAAACATGTATAAAATTTTGTTTTGCGTTGATCAGGCTTGTCGCGGACAGCTAATCATTTCCATTTTATCAGCTCGAAAAAAGTGACACGTCTTGGTCTATAGATTTAGGAACAGTAAATAGTGTAGAACGGGCTTCGCCCTAGCACCGTCTGTCAACTTGGCGACAAGAAACGATGCATAATTCTTGCATGCAAGTTATCGTAGTACTATCTAACATGCTGGCATCCATTGGAATACCGGCTCTGAGATAGGCGGATACAGATATGTAAATCAATTTAAATAGAATGAAGGGCGTGGGGTTTTTTTCAATTTCAAATGGTTTATGAATGGGATTGTGTTTATTTAATTTATACTCCTATTTGCTTTCAGCATACAGTAAAATCATACCTCATAATTTTATAACAGTGTTTTTCAAACTGGGAACTTTGAGATGTGTGGACTTTAACTGTAGAATTCCCAGCCAGCAGAATTTCGAGAATTGAAGTTCACACATCTTAAAAGTATGAGAGATAGAGCCCCTGTGTATCTTCCGTGTTGTTCAGTAAATTTGGCTTTCAGAGAAACGGATTTGCTGCTTTAGAATCTAGGTATACTGATTGGTTCACATGTATTACTGCTGTATTACTCATGATGTTGTTAGGCACGGTTTGTTAAATAAGTTTTATTTGGATACATTCAGGCATCGCAGTCTGGAAAGGATTTACAAGACTTGGATATATATCTCTAATACTCCTTTTTTAATTATTCAGGAATTTCAGAGTATATATAGTAGGGACAGACAAAATGTACAGGATGTTTTGGGGGAGGGGATTTGCTTGTTTTCATGAAAACTTGTGATTGTAGTATTTAGCGATGGCATATATACTCTAAGCCAGGGGTGTCAAACTCAAATTCATCGGGGGCCGCATCAGCAGTTTGGTCCCCATCAAAGGGCCGGTTGTATCTGTAGGTCTATGTGTCCACTCTTTATTATCATAAATTAATGTCACTGCATTCAATTATTACTGTTTTTTGTAATAATGTAAGTAATAACTAGCTCTGAAAGCAGAAACATAGTCAGAATAATGACAAGTAGATATTCAAATGTACAATTATTGTACAATGTATTGAAAAATGTTTTTTGGTAACAAACATTAATTTTTTTTTAAACATACAAATATTGCCAAACACTGTTTATTAAACATATGGAAAACACAAGGCATTACCTTTTTTTTAACTTTTATAGTGCCCAGCCATGTGCCCCCTTTTAAAGTGCCCAGCCATGTGCCCCCTTTTAAAGTGCCCAGCCATCTGCCCCCTTCTATAGTGCCCAGCCATCTGCCCCCTTTTATAGTGCCCAGCTATCTGCCCCCTCCATTTACTTTACTTACCTTTTACTTCTTTCTTTCTTTTACTTCTTTCTTCTTGCTCCTCTCCGCGGCGTCCGCGCGCTCCTCTGATCCCTGAAGATGTCGGGCGGACGTCACGTGATGATGTCACGTCCGACACCCAGGGAGCAGTGCGGGGCAGGAAGAAGTCGGGCCAGGTCCCGGAAGGTAAGTAATTTTTTTTTTTTTTTAACTTGAGCCATTTTTAAAATGAATTTACTCCGTGCAGGCACGGAGTAAATTCATTGAAAAAAAAAAGGGGGAGGCTGCAAGGCTGGCGGCGGCACCGCGGGCCATCAGACGAGGTCTGGCGGGCCGGATTTGGCCCGTGGGCCTTGTGTTTGACACCCCTGCTCTAAGCTGTAAGCTGTAAATTCTGCTTTACAAAGCACAATACTAGACCTTTTTCAGTAAGGGGAGACATGATAGACGTGAAAATTGTCATACAGAAAAATGGATTTATTTATTCAAAGTTATTCCAAAATCAGGACAAATCATATATAAGCAAAACACAAGCACGAAGCCGAAAGCACCGAAAGCACTTTTACTTTTTATTGAAGTGGCAGTTGTCTGCTCTTGCTTTTTCTTCCCATTTTTCCTATTAAGTATTGTAAGATGAGCAGAAAGGTACCAGCCTCAACTTCTTCAATCCCGACTTCTTCCTCACCATCTGCAGGACAATGATCAATACAGGTGATGTTGCAACAGGAGAAGGAGAAGGAAGTGACACTGCAGATGATTATGCAAGGAATTCAAAAGATACAAGCAAAAACAGATAATATTGAAAAGAGAATGGAAAACATTGAAAAGAGAACGGAGAACATCGAGCAAAGAACCGAAAAGACAGATGAGAAAATTGAAAATATCCAACAGATGATGATGCAATATGAGGACAGAATTAAGAAAATTGAATAACAAGACGTACAAAGAGATAAGAAGATTGGAGATATGGATACCCGACTGAGTGAAGTTGAAAGAGTCAAGAGCAGATCACTGGGGTCACTGGGATGGGAAATTTATAGGTCAGAATTCTATCTTAGATTCCAAAATATAGAAGAAGAAAAAGGTGAAAATCTTGCTGAAATGATGACAGAAATCCTGGCAGAAGCATTAGAGATAACTAAAAAGAAGATGATGGATGGAATGGACGAGGTTTTCCGTGTCTATACAAGATATGCGATGAGAAATAAACTACCAAGGGAAGTTCATATCAGATTTACTAAGAAAATAATTAAGTCACAAATACTTCAGGCAGCAAGAGAGAAAACACTAAAGTACAAAGATAAAGAAATAGTGATACTGAAACAGGTACCAAGAAGAGTGAGAGAGATAAGAAGAGAATATTTATTTTTGACCAAAGAGCTACTCAAGAGAGGAATAAATTACAGATGGCTGATACCAGAAGGACTCATGTTTACCTGGCAGGAACAAAGACACATAATTGATACAGTTGAAAAAGCTGAGTTATTCTATCTGGAATACTTCAGAGGAAAGGAGGAAGATACAAGAAAAGAAGAGTCGTTGATTGAATTTCAAGAGGAATGCTTAGCACTAATTGCAAAAGAAGAAGGAGCCGTAGGTGGTGTACCCAGAGAGCAACGAGAACCAAGATCTACTAGAACAACAAATCCTTATAAAGTCTAAAATGGAGGAGAGAAGACTGATTACAATTAATATAAATGGACTCAATTCAGCTATTAAAAGAAGAAAAATATTTCTTAAGTTAGAGAAATTAAAATTTGATATAATCTGCCTACAAGAAGTACATATTAAAAAACAACACGAACACATATTGAAACAACAAAAATTAGGGAAATTATTCACAGTGTTGACACAGTGTAAAAAGAGAGGAGTGGTGTTATATATTAGAGACACAATTCCCACAGAACAAATATATACAGATGATGATGGAAGGATTTTGATGGTGGAGATAATGGACAATAATCTAAAGACACTTTTAATAGCAATCTATGCTCCAAATGATAAGAAGATTTTTATAGGAAATTACATATGAAAATAATTGAACTGGACTATGCCAATATTTGTCTGATGGGAGATCTTAATGGAATAATAAATGACAAATTGGATTATAAAACTCAGAAAACAGCAAAGAAAACTAGAAAGACACTGCCAAAATCCTTCTTTCGAATGGTAGATGAGATAAACTTAAAAGATGCATGGAGAGAGAGGAATGCGGAAAATAAACAATATACTTTTTATTCAAATAGACATGCATCATGGTCCAGAATAGATATGATATGGATGTCAACAGAATTGCTCTCCAACATACAAGACATTGAAATAGAAACAAGTACCTGGGCAGATCACAATCCAATAACAGTTGTATGGAAAGGACAAAAAAGGAGATCTAGATGGACTTTAAATAATACGATATTAAAGGAAAAAGATTTTAAACAGAAAATTGAGAGAGAACTGACTTTCTTCTTTAAAGAAAATACAAAAGAGGATACATCATTACAGAACCTCTGGGGCACGATGAAAGCTTATACAAGAGGTTTGATAATGGACTATACAAGGAAAAGAAACACAAAACAGAGAAAAACCTTTAAGAAATTGGAAGATGATTACAAGAGACTGGAAAAAGAGCTACAGAAATATCCACAAAAAAGGACATTAAAGTTAAAATGGACATAACTAAACATAAAATGGGGCTAATGGAAAAAGAGGAAATAGCACAAAAAATTAAAAATGCTAAGCAGAACTATTTTGAAGATACAAATAAACCAGGCAGATGGCTAGCATATAAATTGAGAAAGGAAAGAGATTCAAGAAGGATAAATCAATTGATAAATGAACAGGGACATGTATGCTATGGAAATGCGGAGAAGAAGAAAAATATTCAAGACTATTATGGAAAATTGTACCATCAAGAGAATGTTCAGGAAGAAAGAATTCAACAATACTTACAGGAAGTGAATCTGCCCCAGATACCCAAAGATATTGAAATAATGTTAGAAAGTAACATAACAATGATGGAATTAACAGAAACTTTAAAAAAGCAAAATATTGGGAAAGCACCGGGTCCAGACGGTTTGCCAGTGGAATTTTATAAGACATTTCAGGAAACATTGAATCTTCCTTTATTAGAAGTTATGAATGAAGTTACGACAAGGAAGAGAATACCCAAAACATGGTCAGAAGCATATATTACACTTATACTGGAGGAGGACACAGACCCACAGCAAGTTAAAAATTACAGACCTATATCCCTATTAAACTCAGATTATAAAATTTTTGTTTCAATTCTGGCAGAAAGACTGAAAAGATACTTAAACCATTTTATTCATTCTGATCAAAATGGATTTCTGCCAAAGAGACAACTTAAAGACAATATGAGAATAATTTTAGACACACTGGAATACTATGAGGCACATCCCGAAAAACAAATGGCTTTGATGTTTTTAGATGCACAAAAAGCCTTTGATAA